ATACGAGAGAAAGAGGTCGAGGGAGAGACAGAGAGAAGAAAGGACAGAGCGTCTTATCATTTATTTAGTCATACGAGAGAAAGAGGTCGAGGGAGAGACAGAGAGAAGGAAGGACAGAGCGTCTTATCATTTATTTAGTCGTACGAGAGAAAGAGGTCGAGGGAGAGACAGAGAGAAGGAAGGACAGAGCGTCTTATCATTTATTTAGTCGTACGAGAGAAAGATGTCGAGGGAGAGACAGAGAGAAGGAAGGACAGAGCGTCTTATCATTTATTTAGTCGTACGAGAGAAAGAGGTCGAGGGAGAGACAGAGAGAAGAAAGGACAGAGCGTCTTATCATTTATTTAGTCGTACGAGATAAAGAGGTCGAGTGAGAGACAGAGAGAAGGAAGGACAGAGCGTCTTATCATTTATTTAGTCATACGAGAGAAAGAGGTCGAGGGAGAGACAGAGAGAAGGAAGGACAGAGCGTCTTATCATTTATTTAGTCGTACGAGAGAGAGAGGTCGAGGGAGAGAGAGAGAGAAGGAAGGACAGAGCGGCTTATCATTTATTTAGTCGTACGAGAGAAAGAGGTCGAGGGAGAGACAGAGAGAAGGAAGGACAGAGTGTCTTATCATTTATTTAGTCATACGAGAAAAAGAGATGGTGCGAGAGACAGACAGTGCGTCTTATCATATATTGAGTCATACGAGAGAAAGAGGTCGAGGGAGAGACAGAGATTAGAAAGGACAGAGCGTCTTATCATTTATTTAGTCGTACGAGAGAAAGAGGTCGATGGAGAGACAGAGGGAAGGAAGGACAGTGCGTCTTATCATTTATGTAGTCGTACGAGAGAAAGAGTTCGAGGGAGAGAGAGAGAGAAGGAAGGACAGAGCGTCTTATCATTTATTTAGTCGTACGAGAGAAAGAGGTCGAGGGAGAGACAGAGAGAAGGAAGGACAGAGGTCTTATCATTTATTTAGTCATACGAGAAAAAGAGATGGTGCGAGAGAAAGACAGTGCGACTTACCATATATTGAGTCATACGAGAGAAAGAGGTTGAGGGAGAGACAGAGATTAGAAAGGACAGAGCGTCTTATCATTTATTTAGTCGTACGAGAGAAAGAGGTCGAGGGAGAGACAGAGAGTAGGAAGGACAGAGCGTCTTATCATTTATGTAGTCGTACGAGAGAAAGAGGTCGAGGGAGAGAGAGAGAGAAGGAAGGACAGAGAGTCTTATCATTTATTGAGTCATACGAGAGAAAGATGTAAATGGAGAGACAGAGAGAAGAAAGGACAGAGCGTCTTATCATTTATTTAGTCGTACGAGAGAAAGAGGTCGAGGGAGAGAGAGAGAGAAGGAAGGACAGAGCGTCTTATCATTTATTTAGTCGTAATGAGAGAGAAAGATGTCGAGGGAGAGTCAGAGAGAAGGAAGGACAGAGCGTCTTATCATTTATTTAGTCATACGAGAGAAAGAGGTCGAGGGAGAGACAGAGAGAAGGAAGGACAGAGCGTCTTATCATTTATTTAGTCGTACGAGAGAAAGAGGTCGAGGGAGAGAGAGAGAGAAGGAAGGACAGAGCGTCTTATCATTTATTTAGTCGTACGAGAGAAAGAGAGGAGAAAAAGAAGAATGACAGAGTGTCTTATCATTTATTTAGAAATACGAGAGAAAAGAGATGAAAAGGAGAGACAGACAGTGCGTCTTATAATATATTGAGTCATACGAGAGAAAGAGGTCGAGGGAGAGACAGAGAGAAGAAAGAACAGAGCGTCTTATCATTTATTTAGTCGTACGAGAGAAAGAGGTCGAGGGAGAGAGAGAGAGAAGGAAGGACAGAGCGTCTTATCATTTATTTAGTCGTACGAGAGAAAGATGTCGAGGGAAAGTCAGAGAGAAGGAAGGACAGAGCGTCTTATCATTTATTTAGTCATACGAGAGAAAGAGGTCGAGGGAGAGACAGAGAGAAGGAAGGACAGAGCGTCTTATCATTTATTTAGTCGTACGAGAGAAAGATGTTGAGGGAGAGACAGAGAGAAGGAAGGACAGGGCTTCTTATCATTTATTTAGTCGTACGAGAGAAAGATGTCGAGGGAGAGTCAGAGAGAAGGAAGGACAGAGCGTCTTATCATTTATTTAGTCATACGAGAGAAAAAGGTCGAGGGAGAGTCAGAGAGAAGGAAGGACAGAGCGTCTTATCATTTATTTAGTCGTACGAGAGAAAGAGGTCGAGGGAGAGAGAGAGAGAAGGAAGGACAGAGCGTCTTATCATTTATTTAGTCGTACAAGGGAAAGAGGTCGAGGGAGAGAGAGAGAGAAGGAAGGACAGAGTGTCTTATCATTTATTTAGTCATACGAGAAAAAGAGATGGTGCGAGAGACAGACAGTGCGTCTTATCATATATTGAGTCATACGAGAGAAAGAGGTCGATGGAGACAGAGATTAGAAAGAACAGAGCGTCTTATCATTTATTTAGTCGTACGAGAGAAAGAGGTCGAGGGAGAGACAGAGAGAAGGAAGGACAGAGCGTCTTATCATTTATGTAGTCGTACGAGAGAAAGAGGTCGAGGGAGGGAGAGAGAGAAGGAAGGACAGAGAGTCTTATCATTTATTGAGTCATACGAGAGAAAGATGTAAATCGAGAGACAGAGAGAAGAAAGAACAGAGCGTCTTATCATTTATTTAGTCGTACGAGAGAAAGAGGTCGAGGGGAGAGAGAGAGAAGGAAGGACAGAGCGTCTTATCATTTATTTAGTCGTACGAGAGAAAGATGTCAAGGGAGAGTCAGAGAGAAGGAAGGACTGAGCATCTTATCATTTATTTAGTCATACGAGAGAAAGAGGTCGAGGGAGAGACAGAGAGAAGGAAGGACAGAACGTCTTATCATTTATTTAGTCGTACGAGAGAAAGAGGTCGAGGGAGCGAGAGAGAGAAGGAAGGACAGAGCGTCTTATCATTTATTTAGTCGTACGAGAGAAAGAGGTCGAGGGAGAGACAGAGAGAAGGAAGGACAGAGTGTCTTATCATTTATTTAGTCATACGAGAAAAAGAGATGGTGCGAGAGAGAGAGAGAAGGAAGGACAGAGAGTCTTATCATTTATTGAGTCATACGAGAGAAAGATGTAAATGGAGAGACAGAGAGAAGAAAGAACAGAGCGTCTTATCATTTATTTAGTCGTACGAGAGAAAGAGGTCGAGGGAGAGAGAGAGAGAAGGAAGGACAGAGCGTCTTATCATTTATTTAGTCGTACGAGAGAAAGATGTCGAGGGAGAGTCAGAGAGAAGGAAGGACAGAGCGTCTTATCATTTATTTAGTCATACGAGAGAAAGAGGTCGAGTGAGAGACAGAGAGAAGGAAGGACAGAGCGTCTTATCATTTATTTAGTCGTACGTGAGAAAGATGTCGAGGGAGAGACAGAGAGAAGGAAGGACAGAGCGTCTTATCATTTATTTAGTCGTACGAGAGAAAGAGGTCGAGGGAGAGAGAGAGAGAAGGAAGGACAGAGCGTCTTATCATTTATTTAGTCGTACGAGAGAAAGAGGTCGAGGGAGAGACAGAGAGAAGGAAGGACAGAGTGTCTTATCATTTATTTAGTCATACGAAAAAAGAGATGGTGAGAGAGACAGACAGTGCGTCTTATCATATATTGAGTCATACGAGAGAAAGAGGTCGAGGGAGAGACAGAGATTAGAAAGGACAGAGCGTCTTATCATTTATTTAGTCGTACGAGAGAAAGAGGTCGAGGGAGAGACAGAGAGAAGGAAGGACAGAACGTCTTATCATTTATGTAGTCGTACGAGAGAAAGAGGTCGAGGGGAGAGAGAGAGAAGGAAGGACAGAGAGTCTTATCATTTATTGAGTCATACGAGAGAAAGATGTAAATGGAGAGACAGAGAGAAGAAAGGACAGAGCGTCTCATCATTTATTTAGTCGTACGATAGAAAGAGGTCGAGGGAGAGAGAGAGAGAAGGAAGGACAGAGCGTCTTATCATTTGTTTAGTCGTAGGAGAGAAAGATGTCGAGGGAGAGTCAGAGAGAAGGAAGGACAGAGCGTCTTATCATTTATTTAGTCATACGAGAGAAAGAGGTCGAGGGAGAGACAGAGAGAAGGAAGGACAGAGCGTCTTATCATTTATTTAGTCGTACGAGAGAAAGATGTCGAGGGAGAGACAGAGAGAAAGAAGGACAGAGCGTCTTATCATTTATTTAGTCGTACGAGAGAAAGATGTCGAGGGAGAGTCAGAGAGAAGGAAGGACAGAGCGTCTTATCATTTATTTAGTCATACGAGAGAAAGAGGTCGAGGAGAGACAGAGAGAAGGAAGGACAGAGCGTCTTATCATTTATTTAGTCGTACGAGAGAAAGAGGTCGAGGGGAGAGAGAGAGAAGGAAGGACAGAGCGTCTTATCATTTATTTAGTCGTACGAGAGAAAGAGGTCGAGGGAGAGACAGAGAGAAGGAAGGACAGAGGTCTTATCATTTATTTAGTCATACGAGAAAAAAAGAGATGGTGCGAGAGACAGACAGTGCGTCTTACCATATATTGAGTCACACGAGAGAAAGAGGTCGAGGGAGAGACAGAGATTAGAAAGGACAGAGCGTCTTATCATTTATTTAGTCGTACGAGAGAAAGAGGTCGAGGGAGAGACAGAGAGTAGGAAGGACAGAGCGTCTTATCATTTATTTAGTCGTACGAGAGAAAGAGGTCGAGGGAGAGAGAGAGAGAAGGAAGGACAGAGCGTCTTATCATTTATTTAGTCGTACGAGGGAAAGAGGTCGAGGGAGAGACAGAGAGAAGGAAGGACAGAGTGTCTTATCATTTATTTAGTCATACGAGAAAAAGAGATGGTGCGAGAGACAGACAGTGCGTCTTATCATATATTGAGTCATACGAGAGAAAGAGGTCGATGGAGAGACAGAGATTAGAAAGAACAGAGCGTCTTATCATTTATTTAGTCGTACGAGAGAAAGAGGTCGAGGGAGAGACAGAGAGAAGGAAGGACAGAGCGTCTTATCATTTATGTAGTCGTACGAGAGAAAGAGGTCGAGGGAGGGAGAGAGAGAAGGAAGGACAGAGAGTCTTATCATTTATTGAGTCATACGAGAGAAAGATGTAAATCGAGAGACAGAGAGAAGAAAGAACAGAGCGTCTTATCATTTATTTAGTCGTACGAGAGAAAGAGGTCGAGGGAGAGAGAGAGAGAAGGAAGGACAGAGCGTCTTATCATTTATTTAGTCGTACGAGAGAAAGATGTCAAGGGAGAGTCAGAGAGAAGGAAGGACTGAGCATCTTATCATTTATTTAGTCATACGAGAGAAAGAGGTCGAGGGAGAGACAGAGAGAAGGAAGGACAGAACGTCTTATCATTTATTTAGTCGTACGAGAGAAAGAGGTCGAGGGAGCGAGAGAGAGAAGGAAGGACAGAGCGTCTTATCATTTATTTAGTCGTACGAGAGAAAAGAGGTCGAGGGAGAGACAGAGAGAAGGAAGGACAGAGTGTCTTATCATTTATTTAGTCATACGAGAAAAAGAGATGGTGCGAGAGAGAGAGAGAAGGAAGGACAGAGAGTCTTATCATTTATTGAGTCATACGAGAGAAAGATGTAAATGGAGAGACAGAGAGAAGAAAGAACAGAGCGTCTTATCATTTATTTAGTCGTACGAGAGAGAAAGAGGTCGAGGGAGAGAGAGAGAAGGAAGGACAGAGCGTCTTATCATTTATTTAGTCGTACGAGAGAAAGATGTCGAGGGGAGAGTCAGAGAGAAGGAAGGACAGAGCGTCTTATCATTTATTTAGTCATACGAGAGAAAGAGGTCGAGGAGAGACAGAGAGAAGGAAGGACAGAGCGTCTTATCATTTATTTAGTCGTACGTGAGAAAGATGTCGAGGGAGAGACAGAGAGAAGGAAGGACAGAGCGTCTTATCATTTATTTAGTCGTACGAGAGAAAGAGGTCGAGGGAGAGAGAGAGAGAAGGAAGGACAGAGCGTCTTATCATTTATTTAGTCGTACGAGAGAAAGAGGTCGAGGGAGAGACAGAGAGAAGGAAGGACAGAGTGTCTTATCATTTATTTAGTCATACGAGAAAAAGAGATGGTGCGAGAGACAGACAGTGCGTCTTATCATATATTAAGTCATACGAGAGAAAGAGATCGAGGGAGAGACAGAGATTAGAAAGGACAGAGCGTCTTATCATTTATTTAGTCGTACGAGAGAAAGAGGTCGAGGGAGAGACAGAGAGAAGGAAGGACAGAACGTCTTATCATTTATGTAGTCGTACGAGAGAAAGAGGTCGAGGGAGAGAGAGAGAGAAGGAAGGACAGAGAGTCTTATCATTTATTGAGTCATACGAGAGAAAGATGTAAATGGAGAGACAGAGAGAAGAAAGGACAGAGCGTCTCATCATTTATTTAGTCGTACGATAGAAAGAGGTCGAGGGAGAGAGAGAGAGAAGGAAGGACAGAGCGTCTTATCATTTGTTTAGTCGTAGGAGAGAAAGATGTCGAGGAGAGTCAGAGAGAAGGAAGGACAGAGCGTCTTATCATTTATTTAGTCATACGAGAGAAAGAGGTCGAGGGAGAGACAGAGAGAAGGAAGGACAGAGCGTCTTATCATTTATTTAGTCGTACGAGAGAAAGATGTCGAGGGAGAGACAGAGAGAAAGAAGGACAGAGCGTCTTATCATTTATTTAGTCGTACGAGAGAAAGATGTCGAGGGAGAGTCAGAGAGAAGGAAGGACAGAGCGTCTTATCATTTATTTAGTCACACGAGAGAAAGAGGTCGAGGGAGAGACAGAGAGAAGGAAGGACAGAGCGTCTTATCATTTATTTAGTCGTACGAGAGAAAGAGGTCGAGGGAGAGAGAGAGAAGGAAGGACAGAGCGTCTTATCATTTATTTAGTCGTACGAGAGAAAGAGGTCGAGGAGAGACAGAGAGAAGGAAGGACAGAGTGTCTTATCATTTATTTAGTCATACGAGAAAAAAGAGATGGTGCGAGAGACAGACAGTGCGTCTTACCATATATTGAGTCATACGAGAGAAAGAGGTCGAGGAGAGACAGAGATTAGAAAGGACAGAGCGTCTTATCATTTATTTAGTCGTACGAGAGAAAGAGGTCGAGGGAGAGACAGAGAGTAGGGAAGGACAGAGCGTCTTATCATTTATGTAGTCGTACGAGAGAAAGAGGTCGAGGGGGAGAGAGAGAGAGAGAAGGAAGGACAGAGAGTCTTATCATTTATTAAGTCATACGAGAGAAATATGTAAATGGAGAGACAGAGAGAAGAAAGAACAGAGCGTCTTATCATTTATTTAGTCGTACGAGAGAAAGAGGTCGAGGGAGAGAGAGAGAGAAGGAAGGACAGAGCGTCTTATCATTTATTTAGTCGTACGAGAGAAACATGTCGAGGGAGAGTCAGAGAGAAGGAAGGACAGAGCGTCTTATCATTTATTTAGTCATACGAGAGAAAGAGGTCGAGGGAGAGACAGAGAGAAGGAAGGACAGAGCGTCTTATCATTTATTTAGTCGTACGAGAGAAAGAGGTCGAGGGAGAGACAGAGAGAAGGAATGACAGAGTGTCTTATCATTTATTTAGTCATACGAGAAAAAGAGATGGTGCGAGAGACAGACAGTGCGTCTTATCATATATTGAGTCATACGAGAGAAAGAGGTCGAGGGAGAGAAAGAGATTAGAAAGTACAGAGAGTCTTATCATTTATTTAGTCATACGAGAGAAAGAGGTCGAGGGAGAGACAGCGAGAAGAAAGGACAGAGCGTCTTATCATTTATTTAGTCATACGAGAGAAATAGTTGGTGGGAGAGACAGAGAGAAGGAAGGACAGAGCGTCTTATCATTTATTTAGTCATACGAGAGAAACAGGTGGTGGAATAGACAGAGAGAAAGAATGACAGAGAGTCTTATCCTTTATTTATTTAGTCATACGAGAAAAGAGGTGGTGGGAGAGACACAGAGAAGAAAGGACAGAGTGTCTTATCATTTATTTAGTCATACGAGAGAAAGAGTTGGTGGAATAGACAGAGAGAAGGAATGACAGAGACTTATCCTTTATTTATTTAGTCATACGAGAAAAAGAGGTGGTGGGAGTGACAGATAGAATAAAGTATAGAGTGTCTTATCTTTTATTTAGTCATACGAGAGAAAGAGGTCGAGGGGAGACAGAGAGTAGAAAGGACTGAGCGTCTTATCATTCATTTAGTCATACGAGAGAAAGAGGTCGAGGGAGAGACAGAGAGAAGAAAGGACAGCGCGTCTTATCATTTATTTAGTCATACGAGAGAAAGAGGTCGAGCGAGGGACAGAGAGAAGAAAGGACAGAGCGTCTTATCATTTATGTAGTCATACGAGAGAAAGAGGTCGAGCGAGGGACAGAGAGAAGAAAGGACAGAGTGTCTTATCATTTATTTAGTCATACGAGAGAAAGGGTTGGTGGGAGAGACAGAGAGAAGGAAGGACAGAGTTTCTTATCTTTTATTTAGTCGTACGAGAGAAAGAGGTCGAGGGAGAGACAGAGAGAAGAAAGGACAGAGCGTCTTATCATTTATGTAGTCATACGAGAGAAAGAGGTTGTGGAATACACAGAGAGATGCAATGACAGACAGTCTTATCATTTATTTAATTAGTCATACGAGATGAAGAGGTGGTGGTAGAGACAGAGAGAAGGAATGAGAGAGTGTCTTCTCATTTATTTAGTCATACGAGAGAAAGAGGTGGTGGGAGAGACATAGAGAAGGAAGGACAGAGCGTCTTATCTTTTATTTAGTCATACGAGAGAAAGAGGTTGAGGAATACACAGAGAGAAGGAATGACAGAGAGTCTTATCATTTATTTAGTCATACAAGAGAAAGAGGTGATGGGAGAGACAGAGAGAAGGAAGGACAGAGAGTCTTATCATTTATTTAGTCAATGTATGTGCTTGTGTTTAAATTATTATTAAAGACACATTCTCCAAGCGGAGAAGCAAATTCACAGACACTATTGATTTTTGAAATTTTTATTCTTTGTTGTTGTTTCTGTTGTTGTCAATGATGGTGATGATGTTAGAATTGTTGTTTTTGTTTTTATCGTTAGATGATGTATTTTTTTTTTTTTGATTATTTTTTTTGTCTTGATTGTTGCTTTCTTTAGAATGGCGTTTTTATTGTTTTTACTTGTATCACACACGCGCATAAAAGGTATTCACGTTATATTCCTCAAGTAATTGTTAAAGTTATGTTCCCATTAGAAAAAAATCCCAAATATAAGTCTATTGAGAAATGTGTCAATACCTCATGAAACCTCCACCAGATTTAAATTAAGGCTTTTCTGCGATATTTTAAACTAAATGTAAGTAATATTTGTTTCAAATCAGATAAATTAAACTTTATATTAGCTAATCTTCCTCAAATAAAGTTTCAGAAACTTATATTTTATTTTCTAATGATTTTTTTTAATAATGATGTGGGAGGTAACGCAACAACTCAACTGATGATAGCAGGTAGGAACAAAGAAACCGTGAGGAGGGGGTGACCAAAAACCCCCGGTGTCGCACGTCCAACCTTCTCACGAGCCGAAAGCTCTCTGATGTCAAACAGCAAAACGCGCCTGCGTTATACAGTCGAGGACCGACCACGATTTGCATGCGAATGACGAGACAACGAGATTTTGCGTTAACTAACCGAGACCGCCCGGCATAAAATATGGACGCCGCCATTTTGGTTCCTTTTACCGTTGGGAAAACCGGAGTTTGCACACCGCACAGATTCGCAGGCGTTTCCGAGGTAGGCCATTTTCACAATTTTCCCCACACTCCCCTCTGATCTCATGATCACAAACGGGCCAAGGAGGTGGCGATCGTCGCCGTCGAGTCCCCTCCGAAGGGGGACAGCACAAGCTTCATCCTCATGCGTGTTCTCGTCTGTGGTTTGAGTGTTGATAAACACTGTGTCCGCCGGGAGGCTGCTGTTATCAGAATCACTGCCCTGCAGGTCTAACTCAAGGCAGATCGAACGCTCAATACTCTCAGACTCGGAATTGCTTTCATCGCTCAGTAACGGTAGCGGTTGCATCACCGGCCACAAGTCTTTAATGTGACGAGGCACCCCATTAACTCTCACAGATTGCAGGCTGATCACCTCCGTAACACGTCCAGTGCCGTATTTTGTTGTACACTTGCCGCGTGGGTTTTTGACCCAAACAACATCTCCTTTTTTTCAATCTCCCTCCAGTCACTTCTAGTTCAGGCAGCGGGTTGGCTTCGATGCCTTTCACACGGACATGATATTTGTGCAGTGCATCAGCCGGCGCCGTGGATGGTGAAACATTATCTTTCAGGGTGACATTATACCAGTAAACCGCCTCCGATACTGTACAGCCCTTCCTGTCTGCGATGGTCTTGATGGTTCTGTGGTTCCGCTCCACGATACCGTTTCCACTTGGCAAGTAGGCACATCGAAACCGCAGATGCAGGTCCCAATTGTCCGCAAATTCTTTAAAGTCTTTACTGGTGAATGCAGTACCGTTGTCCGTCAGTATTTCCATGGGTGGGCCTCGCTCCAGGAAAACATTCTCCAACAGTCGAATGACGGTGCTCGCGTCTTGTCTGCGCAGCGGCCGCCATACCGCAAACCTGGAGGGACCGCAATCAATAAGTGTTAAAAAATTCTCACCATTGTAGTGAGTTATGTCCATCGCCAGTCTGCTCCAGTTGCTCTTCACGCACAGTTCTCCTCTTTCCCAGTGAACGGGTGCCGGATCGATCGACTGACAGGTTGTGCAGGCCTTCACAACGGATTTAACGCTTTCTCTGGACACCTGCGGGTCGAATAACCTGGCGAAGTACAGAGTTCGTTTCACGCCTGGATGCCCGCATTGACGATGGGTATTGGCAACCTGGTCCTCGTCCAGTCGTCTCCCTACCACTGCACAGCTCTCGAGTGCCGGTTCTCCTCTCTTGAGCAGTTCTAGCCACCTGTGCGGTACTCTGGTGAGGCGATCCGCACGTTTCTGACAGGACTTTACGAGTGTCACGTCTATGGTCAATCCATATTCTTCCACCAGCAATCGCAAAATGCCCAGCCGTCGCCTGACCAGCATCTCGCCAGCCGCCCTTGTGTTCACACGTGCCTTCCCGGTCAAGGTGTCGGAAATCCACCGGTGCACACACGCCGAATCAGTAACCAAGTGCAATGTTGTCGCCTCCCACTAGAGAGCAAGATTCACTCCTTTAAGCGCCGCATCGAGTTCAGCCAAATTAATATGCCTGACATCATTAGTCGGACGCAGCCAGCACGCATCTTCGATGACATTTCCGTTCACTTCCAATGCCATTCCTGTCGCCACGGAACTCGCATCCACCCAGACTGTGATCTCGTTACCACTCATGCACCAGTCTCCTCCAATGGGATCCAGTTCCCGCACTCTACTTAACATCTCCGCTAGTATGCGACAGAGAGAGGGATCTTTGATGTTATCATCCCATCCATTGGTTGCTGCGGTTGCCAGGCGCTTGACGAATGCAACTGCCACCCTGAGCCATCCACACACGGGGAAATGTCCAACAAGTTTCCCACACAATGAAAACACGCGCCGCCGGGTCAACACATCAGGGACTTCCGGAATTTAACTTTCTCGTTTCCATCGGAGGGTGCCATTTTCTTCCCAGACTTGCAAGCCAAGAACTCTTGCTCCATCTCTCAGTCGCACCGGATCCTTGCACACCAAACCGTAATCCGAAAAGTGTTGTCGTACACGCGATGCAGAGGCCAAACTTTCATTAATGAAGATATCATCAATGTATGCTGATGTGGCACTTTCAATTGTACGGTCTTGCGATGCGATGGCGTCTATAACGGATTTCATAATGAGTGACGCTACATTTAGCCCAAATCCTAGCCGCGTAAGGCAGAAGCGTTGGCCTTTGAAAATAACCGTTTGAAATGGCCACAGCGCTTCGTCGATGTGAATCTGAAGATATGCGTCACATTGACCCCCTGCCGCCGCCACGTTCTCAATTTATGTGCGCACACTTCTGCATCGGCAGTAAAAGCATCCACAAAGTCGTTCAATTCGCGGTAATCGAGTACTGGACGCACCTTCTGTTTCTGCTCCTGCACGACTGCCATCAAGGGAATCAGACCCTTTGGGGGTCCCAGTCTTTCCTGGGGGTACGGAATCAACCAGCCGTTCACAATCCACTGTTGAAGCTCTTTCTCGTATTTTCCTCTGATGCTGTCGGGAACTTTGTACTCTGCGACCTTGTTGTGAAGCTGAACTGGTAGGTCTTTTTGGGCCCATTTCCACCTGCCGGTCCACACCCTCTCGTCGGAATTGAAAGAGACGTCGAAATCCGGCTCACTAATGCAAAGGGCTGCACACACCTTTCTTCCTTTATCCAGTTCCACATTTACGGCTGGCGTGATTATCATGCCCCCTAACGCTCGGATCGCATCAATCCCAAGCAGCAGGTCGTAACCGAGGGGCCTTTGACGTGCCACCAAGACGTCGACCTTGGCATGATTCCCTCCGTCTGTGAGGATTGATACAGTCCCGACACCACAACAGGCCCGGGACACTCCGTCAATCGTCCGAATCTCGATTTGTTGACTGCTCCATGTCACGCATCGATCCGCACTAACGATCGATCGGGAACATCCAGTGTCAACGAGCGCCGAACATCGTTTACCCTCAACGTACACGTTGACAACAGGCAATGCCGCATTTATTGACCGAGACGGGGCAAGGGTTGCGACAGCACCTTGTCCCCGGACTCGTTTCCCGAGCAATCCTGTGCTACATGGCCTAAATCTTTGCAGCGATAGCAGCGTAGTCGTGCTCGGTTCCGTCGGCTGCTCCCGCCTCCTACGTCACTTCGGCTCCGGCAGTCCCTGGAGAAATGGTTGGGTCCACTGCACTTGTAGCACTTTGGGTCTCAGGCGTTCTCACGGCTGCCGCGACCTGTTCCGTGTCTTTCAAGATGTTTCGGGCCCTGGCTAGCAATTCGTCAATTCCCAGTGTCCAATCTTGAAGACGCTCGTAGGAGCCGCCTGGTGTCGTCGGGAAGTCCTGCGAGGAAGGCGCACCCCAGGATGCGGTCCGTTGCTCCGCCAAACGGTACTGCCAGCCTTCGCAAATCAGCCAGGTAGACATCCACGGTCTCACCCGGCTCGAGCTGTCGTCTGACGAACTGTTTCCAAGCAATGAAGGGGTCTATTCCAAAGGCCATATATAGGGCGCCCTTGATCTCTTCTAGGTCAGCATCATCCCCGAGTTGTTGATATAAGGCGTAGGCTCCCCCCGTGAGTCTCAGTGGGATGACCAGTGCAGGTTCCTTTATTTTGGACACCCTGCAAACACGTTCGGCCTTTTCAAACCGTTCGACGACAGTCGGGCCCGTGGGGGAGCCGTCAAATTCTGGGATCAATTTTAGATCGAACTTGTCCATTGCCGAAATAGCTTGTGGGAGGTAACGCAACAACTCAACTGATGATAGCAGGTAGGAACAAAGAAACCGTGAGGAGGGGGTGACCAAAATCCCCTGGTGTCGCACGTCCAACCTTCTCACGAGCCGAAAGCTCTCAAGATTTATTGCAACAAGAGTTACAATTGTGGCACAAGGCCAAAAAGGGGAGGGGGAATGGCAGGTCAACACTAACTATCTTATACCTAGCTAATCTGACTCACGACCCATTCATACATTACAATTTGCTCATTCACCACAAGAACTCATCCATCACCGTTCAATCCTTCAACCACCATAATACCACATCCACTCCAAGGAAACCTACCAAAACGCGCCCCAATCCATAAAAATATGATGATACATAAATGCTATACATAAAATTCCAACAATGATAGAATGCAAGGGGATGGAGATGGACCCAACAATAAATAAATCTAAACACAAAATACAAACTAAACATAACAAATGTTAGTAGGGACCGTCCAACCCTCAAAACAGAGAGGCCACTGTATTCTGCCCAGGGGACAGAATCAAGAGACGCTCTCGCTAAGGGAGTGGGAAAGAGGCGAAAATATTATGCCGGAATGGGAAATGTAAAGCTGACCCAGTCGAGATGAAAAGGGGCCAAAACAAACTGGGGAGGTTGGGAATCTCGACTTGGACCGTAACCAAGGAACAGCCGGGATACAGGCCAGGAACAACACTTACTCACATTAACTAGGTACACTGAAGCTTGTCTAACCTAACCAAGGGGAGGGTTCCACAGGAAGCCACCCCGATGTGCTATAGGTTGATCTAGAAAAGAAAATCAAGGCTAGCCCCGGTCACACGAACCAAGCTCGCCTCTTTTACCCACCTTTCGCTAAAGACTGTCGAATGCAATCGTTTTCTATCAGATCTAATCTTCATCTTGAGCTGATGCTCAAAGAATTGGATTAGATGCTGATAAGAAAGACGATCGCCCCGCAAGACTTCCTCCATTCGCGTCGTCCAAATCACCATTCTAGCCGTGGCCATCAGCGTCAGAAACACCATTCATTTCACCCCGGAATACGGGGGCGACACATTGTCACACGCGTATGCGCGATCAATGGACACAAGCTGTTCGGGAGCGAGACGAGCCGTCAGCTCGCCGACATGGTCCCATAAGGGGCGGACCCGGGAGCAATGGTAGAAGGCGTGCGAAGCCGTTTCTTCTAAGCCAAGACCACACCGTTCACAGTCTGGCAAATCCGCCAAACCCCATATGAAAGCCTTGTCATTGAGAGGCAGCCGATTCCGAGCCAATCGGCAGGTAAGCGAAAACTCAGGGTTACTGAGGTAATCCGCCGCTGGCGCCCAAGACTAATGGGAGCGATACTCCTCCTCCGACAAGCCGAGCGTATCACGTAGCGAATCCTTGGCGCGACCCTCCACTAATCCACGATAGAAGACCTTCCTAGGCCGAGAAAGGTCACTGGACCGGGGAATGGCCCTCAAGGCCGACCGACACTCGCGAAGGAACTCCGATTCATCCCGGGGTTTACAACGGCGCTCAACCCGCGAGAGGGGGGGACTGATGGTAAGGCTAGGGAAGGCATCCCTAACAATCCCCTCCAGAATCGGATCTCCTCTAGTCAATGCGCGGCGTAAGAAAGCCAACCTAGAGGCACGGATGTGACTCAACAGGTGCGGCATTCCCAGCCCCCATGACACGGACGTTTAGTGCAGACTCGTCTGTCGACCCTGTTCCCGCGTCCCCTCCATAAAATGGAGGATAGCGATCGCTCGAGCGCCTTCCTGTGGTCTTTACAGAGAGGAAGTACGGACAATCGATAAAGAATCAGGGGGAAAATGTATATAACACACACCTCCGCCCTGCCCTTCACGGACAACCTCCGTCGATTCCAAGTCCGACCGGCAGAATCGACCTTTGCTCGTACTTCAGACCAATTCTTCTCCAGCTGGAGGTCGGGCCCAAACCACACTCCAAGAATGCGGACAGGACCGTCCGTCCAACCGAAGTGGCCCGGAAGAGCGACCCCCTTCCAGGCACCTAACCGCAAGCCGGACGACTTGTCGCGGTTTATCTTGGCCCCTGTCACCTTCTCGTACCGATCAAGCGCCTTCTGTACTGCCTCAATGTCGCTGCGGGACGACACGAAAGAAGATACGTCATCGGCAGGACAGTAGCAAGGTAGCGATGGTCAACCCTATCAAATGCCTTGGACTGATCCAAATTGATCAGCGCGGCTTCTTCGTCGTCTTTTACACCCTCTATGATCGTGCGGATCAGATGCAGGTTGCTCTGAATTGTTCGGCCCCTCACAGAACTCGGCAACTGACTGCAAACGCTCCTGCAGGATCTTGGCCATAATCTTTAACTCTGTGTTTAGCAGAGTTATGGGCCTGTAATCGTCTAGCTTCCCCCCACCACCTTTGCCCTTTTTCAACAGAGTGATCACACCCCTGGTGATCCGATCGGGGATGGACCCCGACCGAAACCAGTTGTTGAACACTGCTGTCAAAATCGGAACAAAGATGTGCGACAGCCTCAAGTACAATTCATAGGGCAAACCATCCAGACCGGGCGACTTGCCTCTGCCGACCTTCTTCAATACCGCGTAGACTTGGCCCTCCGTGATCTCTCCCTCGCAGCTAGCCGCTTCAGTCGGCGAAAGCCGAGGAAAGTCAGCCAAATAGCTACGAAACTCCTCCTCACGGAGACCAGGCTCCTTGGTAAACCGGCTCTCGAAATGGCGCCGAAACGCCTCGCACATGTCGTCAGTGGCCCGAAGAGTATGCCCCTCCGGGGACTCGACTTCACAAATGTAACGATCGCCACCTCGACGGACCTCTTCCCTGCGCAGATCTGCGCCCAAATTCACGGCTTCGGAAGACATCTTGCTTAACTTATGTCTAATTACCTGGCCCATGTACCGCTCGCTATTCAAACGATCCAGGGCCGCCCTAGCTAAGGCTATCTCTAGGTGGTCCCCGCCAGCCACCGCCCGGGTGTAACTAGCTTTAAGTGTCTTCACCTTTTCAGCTCTATCTAGAGCGAGCCGTTTGCTGAAATCAGTGGTGAAAGACCTAATCCTACACTTAAGTCGCTCCCACCACCTATTCCCGATAACCGCCCCCACTAGCTCCCGCTGCACTAATCTAGTTAGCTGTTCCTGGAAGTCCCTCCTGTCCAGTAAAGACAGATTGAACTTCCAGTAGCCAGCCATTCTAGGCCTATGGTCTAACGCCACCCGGGCACAAACAAGTTTATGGTCCGCGTAGCCTACCCAGTGGAACGTAGGGCAATCCAGTAGATCTATGTCGGCTCTTCTAACTAACATTCTGTCAAGGTAGCTAACCACCCTGTCAGAAGGCCAACTAAGAGCCCACGTCCACATTTTTCCCCGGGATGATCGACCCGGTATCTATCGACCAGACCATAATCGTCGATCAGATCAACCAGGCTACGATCGTCCCTTCTCCCACTAGCACCCCGCCCCCTGTCTAACTTGGAGTCCAGGATGGCATTCCAGTCCCCCATTAAAACTAGGCGCGTTGAATCCACTATGAACGGCCCCAACTGCCGAAAAAACGAGACCCGCTCCTCCTGGTCATTGGGCGCATAAACTGCAACGACTCGGAACGAACCACTTTTCACGGCAATATCGGCCACGATCAACCGGCCCTCGGCATCGGTAAGCACAAGGTCCACCTTCGCATCAAGAGTCCGTCTGACAAGCAAAGAAACTCCTCTGGCAAATCGGTCCCCATATGCTGAATAAACAACAAAGTCGTCTTCCAGCACACACGCATCGGCACTGCAAACAAAGTGGGTCTCTTCGATCGCGGCAACATCCCCATCCAGGGACAGAAGGTCCCGGAGCAGGCGGGCAGCCTTACCCCGATCCCTTAAGCCCCTCACATTCAATGTAGCTATCTTAATTGACATCTTCTAGGCCTGCAAATAAAAGAAAAGAATTAGTGCAAAAACCTTATCCACATACGGGGCGGAAATCTACAGCGGTAAGGACCCCGACGGAATGTCCCAGGCTCCCTATATCCAGATCCGACGTCATCCGTCCATCCAGGACTATTCCGCCAGCGTCCGAGGGGTATGTTAATTTAACACACCTATATAGAGCGGGATGGAGTATAACAGTGACCCTCCCCGCACAAAATTGTCTGAACTTTTTAACATATTCATCGTCCATACAGAACATTCTGATTTTCGGGAAAGCCTCCCTGGCTTCAAACAGGTGGTCCCACACTTTCAGGTATTTACCTGTGTCTCTGACACATGTGACCACCCCGGGTGCCTCAGGAAAGTTTCTCGGGTCCTCAACCGTTTTCCCATCTACTTTATCTAATTTTAGTAACAGAGCAAGTAAAGATTTCTTCCTCTGATGAGAAATGC